AGAAGCTCTGGTCAATAGTATAATAGATTCAAGATACCGACAATTGATACATGATATTTACCAAAACGCAACCATGACCGTAATTCTGGACGACAAATTATTAACGGATAATATAAAAGTTAAACGAGGAGTCCGACAAGGCGATATAATTTCACCTAAACTGTTTACCTTGACCCTCGAAGACATAATAAAATCAACAGATTGGGAAAACAGAAGAATATGTATTAACGGAAAATACCTAAATCAGCTTAGATATGCGGATGACATACTCCTGATCTCCTCGGAACGACAAGAACTGGAATTAATGCTGAATGAACTTCATGAAAAATCACTGCAAAAAGGCCTAAAAATTAACTTCAACAAAACAAAAGTAATGACAAACAGGAGGACCAAGAGGCAATAAAAATAAAAACAGAAAAAATAGAACAGGTAAATGAGTATATCTATCTAGGACAAGCAATCAGAGCTAATAGAGAAAATCAAACAGCCGAAATATCGAGACGAGTAAGAATGGGATGGGCAGCGTTCGGCAAACTTTCTTACGTTCTAAAGAATCAAACAATCCCTCTATACTTACGAAGCAAGGTATATAAACTCCTGCATCATACCGGTGCTCACCTACGGAGCACAGACATGGACATTTACACAGGCCAATTTGGATAGGATAAGGAAGGCACAAAGAGCGATAGAGAGACAAATGTTGGGTGTATCACTTAGAGATAGAAAACGTAACCAGTGGATCAGAACCAGAACAAAGACAGTAGACGTGATAGAACAAGCAGCAAAACTGAAATGGAAATGGGCTGGACACAATGAACGTCTCCAAGACGGACGATGGAACAATGCCATCGGAAAGTGGCGTCCATACAATGCAAAGAGATCAAGAGGCAGACCACAGATAAGGTGGAAAGATGACATCAGGAAACAAGGAGGTCTTACATGGCAGAGAACAGCTCAAGATAGGGAAAGATGGAGAGAACTGGGGGAGACCTATATCCAACAATGGAAGGATAGAGAATAGGTTAAAAAAAAAAACCTATTAGCAGGAGTGACAAATCTTCTTACTCTAATGACATAATCTCCTAGTTTTATTCTTTCGTGACCTGTTAAAAAGGTTTCAACAACTTCTTTAGTGAAGAGGTAGATGCAGATTCTGTTCTATTCGAAATTCTTGATAAAAAGAGTACATTTTTGGGCTGTAAGAGTGATCCTACTGCTGTATGTAACGTAGTCTTCTAGTTTTAGTGTGTCTACTGCTGGGATAGTAATGGCTTGTTCCTAATGTATTTACTTTTTGTTGAGTAATTGTAGAGTAAGATTTGTGTTTGATGATCGGGTAACATTTCAGGACCCCTGTAGCCAGAAGTACCGGCATGTGATAGACTTGTTATGTAGTTTTTACTTCAATTTTCTTGTTACTTTTGATTACATTGTAATTTGGTCGGTACGATTCTTTGTTAATTATAAAGTCTTTAACTTATCAAAAATAAGCCAAACAAAAAACAATTAATTCTTTAACACATTTTTAATTTACAAAACTGTGTGACCGGATTGAAATTCGTAATTATGTGAGATTTTGATGAAACCGTATATATTTTGATAAAAGTACTTATGCATAATAAAATTATTACTAATAACTAAACTACTGATTATGTTTCTTATGATTAATTTAAAGATTTGTTATAAAAAAACGATGAAAATCTTTGAAACTAAGTTTTAGGTGTACCTAATTCAGGACCGCACTCTAATGATTTATTCTTAGAATAGGTATATCGCAAACTTAGACATTGACAAGGATGACCAAAATGCGTACGAGAGAAGATTAGTTTGGTACCAAAATGTTAATATGATGTGCTGTCATCTCTATTGTTGAGACAATTTTACCTTTTTTTCAATTTCTATGGCTTCTCGGATAATTCTTGGTTTATAGAAGCGGATGGGGGTTATGGTTTTGGAGATTTCAAAATCAATTTTGTGACCTGTATGATGATGTTGACCTAGAGCTGAAATTGAGTCGCAATTGCGAACAGAAATGGAATGTTTATAAATTCTATTTTGGATTCTACGATTTGTTTGGCCTATATAGGATCGGAGGCCTCGGATAAATCTAGTCACAGCGTGCCATTGCTCTGATAAAATAAAAGGCATATAATATATGACTTTTATTCACTTTATTTCATATTCCACATATTACAATCAATTCTATTCACTTTACTTCGCACTCGCGCTTGTTACTCACACTTGTCACTTCACAGCTATTCTGTTCACACGCTACTATTCACTTCTCATTTGTCACTCGCACTTTTCACTCGCAGTGACAACTTCTCAAAGTGTAAATTAGTCATAACAGCCATTGAATGTTGAACTATCGGAATCCAAAGTCAGCTAGTTCCAACTAAACCGGGATAAAAAACTCATTTTTTATATTTTTATAATTATTCGATTATCATTCTTAGATCAATATAGTTTAAATAAAGTTATATTTTTTTTCAAATAAGAAACTTTTGTATAATTTTGAAAATAAATATATAATTTTCAGAAGTGTATGAATTTATCTGGCGCTGCGAACAGGATACAACTCGTACATGAAGCATAAATAGTTTCCTTGGGCAACCTAGTTGTTAGTGCATGAATATATATATATATATTATATATATATATATATATACATATATATTATATATATATTATATATATATATATATATATATATATATTATATATATATATACATATATATATACACAGATTGAACCAAATTAAAACGGAACATACAATTTAATACATGCCTGTTTGAACTACATTTGAAATAGTGGACCAATATAAAACTTGGACAAAAATAAATCCATACCTGGGTATAGACATTGTATAAAATATCGTTCAACTTTCTGTCTCGCAACAATGTTTACGTAAGACGGGTTTGTCTAAGGAAGCGATAATAGTTCAGGAAATGAAGCTCGAAAAAAGTTAAAACCTCGCAATTTTTTCGTCCTGCATGTATCCAGTTGAAATTTTAACAGAAGGTAGGTGATAGCCCAAGGATCAAAATCTATATCGAACCGAATTGCGCTGACGGGTTTTAGGGTTGAAAACTACCCCTAATTGTCAAAAATTATAAAATAACATATTAAACCTGAATATGGGTAAAATTTGGTTTGAATGAATTAAATAATGATAGTTTCGAGCTTTTGAATAAAGTTCCATCATATTTCAACCCTTAAAAAGCGACCCTTATTAGACATTAATATAAAAAAATTAGTAATGCGAAGAAAATGATTTCACCTTGGAACGATTTGCATAAAAATTTGGAATTAAGCTTAACTCACCCTCTGCTTTATAGTTTATATCATGCCGATGAACCCTGATTGTTCTTAGGGATGAAAACTACCCCTAATTTTTAAAAATTGTAAAATAATATTACAAATCTTAAGATGAGTGAAATTTGGTTTGGATTGGTTAAATAGTAATTTTTTATACTTTAAAATACAAATTCATACATTTTCAACCCTTAAAAATTAATTGTTATGAGTGCTATAGGTGAAAACAATTTTTTGCCAAAATTTTGCAACTTTTCAACTTTTGAAAATCACCCTTTACAACATTGCAGTTTTTATAAACTAATTTATATATAAATTGAAAAAAGTAGAATTAAATACAAAAAAATTTATCAACATAAAAAGGCACCATATATTCTTATACATTTACATAAATAGTTGAAAGTATTTACATTTATAGGTAAAACAATTATAATATTAATTTTATTCGTCATCAATTACATCTTCATCGTGATCTATGTCATCCTCACCTTCTTCAATTATTGGTAGGACTGTTATTCCACCCTTCACCTGAGCACCCAGAACAAGTAGAGTTACAGTATAAACCAACTTTTCTGTACCCACATGAAACGCCACATCCTTTTTTGCATTGGCAAAAAATAATTTTCAAAAGTTCATCGGGTGCAGGTTGTTTGTTCATGCGTACGGGTGATAACAAACCATCTTTGGAATACCATCCCCAATCTGTTGCTCTGATATTTTCATTGTCAAGCCATAGACATATGAGCAGATGTTTTATTCTGTTGTATGGGATTTCAAAATAAGAACGCTTAAAATTTCGAATGTATAACACCCCACTAGCTAATATACAGGTTTTGTAGATTATTATGCTCCGAAATGTACTGTACGTATATACTGTACCGAAATGGAATTTTCCGGAAAAAAATTAACTGGTTTTTTTAACGTATTTCCTTTAATTTTTAACGATAGAGTGTTTCTTCAAAAACGATTTGTAGAGGTTTTTAAGAGCTACAAGGATCTGTGAATTAAATCTTTTTGGAACCCTTGGTTTTTAAATTGGGTGAGTTTAAAGGGCTCGAAAAAGATGGTGCTTGATCGTAAATCGATGCTTTGAACGGCTATATCTCGCCGAAATATTCATTGTACAACAAATCTAAATACAGGATAATTTTAGTCATTAAAAAAGCTACAATCTGGTAATTTGTATTTTTTTTTATATATTCAGTATTTTCGGGCATATTTAAAAAAAGAAGGGTAAAAAATATGAAATTGTAAATCGTTTCTCGCTTTAAGCTGTACTTTTTCTAAAACTAAGCATTTTAAATGGGTTCAAACTTCTTGGACGTATTAACAATACATGTACAAAGGGAATTGCAGAAGGGTGAAGATCGATTTTAATTATGGGGGTGGTTAGGGGGTTGTTTTCATCGATTTTTTCGTAAAAAATGAGGTATTGACCTTATTTTCATCATAACTCACTCAATTTTTGAGCTAGAATCTTTTTTTATGATAGGTCTATTTATGCTCTTTAAAAAAGGTTTTGTGAGTTTTCTTCCAAAAATGCATCATTTTCCCGATATTTGACTTTAAATCTTTCAAATTTGGCATTTGAAGAAAACCGCTGAACATTGATAGGCCGTATTTCGGTTCCTATTATATCGCAAAAACATTTTGAAAAATGAATTGTATTTGTCTTTTTAAAAGCTACAAATTTGTTCTCTACAATTTTTTTTGATAAAATGCACCATTTTCGAGTTATTCGCCAAAAATCGATTAAAAACGTGGATTTTTTCGTCTAAAAGTTGTTACTTTCAATCGAAAAATATCATTTTATAAAAAAAATGTATAGAGCATTTTTTGTTTAGAATCACTTTTTTAATCGAAACCTGTAGTTAAAACTTGAAAAAAATTTCACCCCGGAGATGGGGTGCAACCACCCCTTAGGCTTTGGCGCACTTTGGTTCGATATAGATTTTGATCCTTAGGATATTACCTACCTTCTGTTAAATTTCAAGTCAATCCACGCAGCACGAAAAAATTGCGAGGTGAAATACTTCATTTCCTGGACTATAACTGGTTTGACAGCATAATAAAATCGTAGATTTATGTGTAGCTTTCAATTTTTATGATGTTCAGAATCCAGCAGCCCGCTGAAGTATTGGATTTTTATAATATAATTATTTGACAATCTTTTGTTGGCCAACCACCTACAGCAGAATTGAGCCGAAATACATAATATTCCTATGTTCCGAATTTATTTTGTTCAATCTGTACATATATATATATATATATATATATATATATATATATATATATATTATATATATATATATATTATATATATATATGCATGAATTTCGGATGCTATCAATTCAACTATCTCTCTTAATGATGTTCCGTATTTGTAAACGTTGTTTTTCCTCATTGTGCAATGATGCGGTTACTTTGAACTTGTCAGAAAGAACTTTGCACTGTGTGAACTTTTACTCGTCACTTCTCACTTAACACCTTCTTGTCAGTTGTCACTTGTCACTTCGTACTTGTACTTTTTACGTTTCAAAGTGTAAATTAGCCTTTAGTCTGGGTGCTTACGACTACATTTCATATATATTTATAGTGGATTTTCTATCGGGTCTGATGAATACTCCGATAAGGAAATTAGAATATACACTTTGACAAGATTTGTGAGTTATTTTATTGAAATTTCAAAAATAAACAATCAAATTTGTACTATAAAATCTAATCAAATAAAAACAACTACAAAAATATACAATGTTAAATATGTGATCAAATATTACAACTAATGCACGAATACAGATTTGCGTAATATATTATAGCAGTCTCTGCTGAATCGCCAAGCACAAGACTATTTTGATGCATGAATACATTTTCCACTCGTGATAACCGAGCATTTATCTAACGAAGTCCTACATTTCTGCTAAAAGGTTTGTAGATGGAATCGATGTGTGCACTCAAATGGTATTCCTGATGTTATTTAAGTTTTTATTCTGAAAATATACGTTGATATACATGCAAAGATGCATTGTATTTACTACTTTGATAAAGCAAATCTAAAAAGAATTAGTTGGCTATAATATTTATCTAACATTCTATTATATTTTAGAATATACAGTGTCCATCGAAAGTGCCTCCTTCTACTTTCTAAACCATAAAACTTAAAGTGATACATTTTTGGGTAACTAACTAATGTACCTGTTCTGAGTTTTTGTTATAGTGACATAATCATTAAAATGGCCGCTGGTACCATTTTAATTTTAATTGTAAGTTTTAAATGAAATTAACAGTCTTGTTTGATTATTCATAGAGAGAACACGTATATTTACAGGTGCTTAAATAGTGATCAAGACCAGATATGTGTGACTATTAATAATAAACCAATTTCACTCCTGGCAAATAAACCCAGTTTTTGTGTTTATTTAAGTATTTATTATTGTTTTTGTTTGTGTTTATGTAGTGGTAGTTTACAAAAATGGATGAAAATTCTCCCCCTGACAAGGGGGGACCCAAAATATGGACCAAGTGGATGAATGCAACAAACTAAGGAACAGCAATCAAAAATATTTTTAGTAGTAAAGGCTACAGTGATTGGCCACTTAAGCATTAGAGTTTGATAAATGTGTAAGACATTAATTTTTATTGAAAACCATATATTTAAATAATACACTAAATGTTAGACTAAAGTGTCCTCTTTGTGACTCAGTAAGTCATTTATTGATTAAAAATGTTTAATATTTATAAAAAAAAGTTTTATTCTTGCAGAAGCATATTTTACAGTGATTGGCCTAATTCGTATTGGCATAGTAAAGTAGATAGTAATTGGCCACCACTAAGAAGCTGAGGTACCCTACACATTTTTCTTATTTATGTACCCTACCTGCGTAATTGTAATTTTGGTTAAAGAACTATAAAAAATTATATATATAATTTTAGTCATCAAAGAATAATTTGGTTTCAAAAATTTTTAATAAATGGAAGAAATTACAAACCAATTACAATGTTATCTTATCAAAACAAACGTTGCACCAAAAGTTCTCCATTTCGGCGGATTTCATCTTATTTTTGGAAATACATTTTATATGGTATGTTCTGGAACAATTTGAACATTTTACTCCATATTGACTACGTGTTATATTATTAACACACGTATAGCACAGTCCAGTGTATATAGTTTTGTTCTTAAATGGATTAGGAGCAGATGGTTTAATAATAACCATATTCGTGTTAATTATTTTTTTAGTATTATCTAATTCATCTTCACTGTTGTCACTAAACAGTTTTCTTTTTATTTTTTCTGGCACAACAGTAAGATAACTTTTGATGTTTTCAGGGTTATGTTGGAAGTCCATTTTTGGCAAGGTTTCCGTTACGTTGAGTAAAGCATCACCATCGTTTACATTTACAGAAAATTTCATATGGGATCATTGTTTTCTTTATCACCTGTTCTGCTCGTTACGGTTTCTGGATCTGTATTATTTTTTAAAACAAGTTTAACGTCAGTGTCGCTTGGTGATCCTTCTATATCATTATGTTTAAGTTTTCTTTTGGTTGGTGCTTTTTTTTATTGGTTTGTTTTCCTTTTAGTTGTTTTTTGTTCAACCTTTCAGTCTTACGTTTCTCTTTCTGCGCCTCCAGTTCTTTTTTTATAGCTATTTTTTCCTTAATTGCATTTTTCCTAACGGAAGAAGTCAGAACAAAGGGTAGTTTCTCCGTCTCCCTTTTTCCTTTCCTTTCGGGAGTTTCGGCCAAATAAGATAATCGCTGATTGAGGAAGATGATTTATTTAATAAGACGTGTTCAGAGGCGAGCGATGAAGTGCTAGGCATTTGGTTGTCTAAGCTAGTAGTTTCTTCTATTACAACAGGAATATTTGCAATGTCAAACATTTGCTCATTTACGATAATTTCCGAAGTATCCTTAATAAAATCCTCATTTTTGTCGTCCTGGAAATTTCCGATTTCAAGATTTATTTCTGGCTCACAGATTTTAGATTGGATCCTCCTATGGAGTTGGTCCATTCCTCTCTGCTATCTGTATCTTCGTGTTTATCCATATCTTCCATTTGATCAGTATTCACGGATGGACTTGCCTTCAAAAAATTATTATAAAGATAAAACAAGGTCAAAAAATCGGAATTATGTGCATCATTTTCAACAAAGTTTTTAAGCCTTTCCATTTTTTCTTCTCCAACAACTTTTTTAAATGTTTCGAATGAAATTTCACCGACATCCGTGTCTTTATCTTTCTCTTTTGCCTTGCCAGTGCATTTGGAATAATCAATTGCGTATACATTCCAAGGGAAAAGCCCACAGGCACGAAAACCATTTCTAATATTTTCTTGTTTTATATTATCAACCACTGTTTTTAAAACTGCAGCAAAATTGTCCTTTGTTACTACTTCAGTAGGGTGCTCTCTCCGAAACGTTAATACAGCACTTTTCCATCCTTCTTTTAAGGGCTTAAAGACAGCCACATCTGCAGGTTATTTTCATAGGTTAAATGTGTACTGTGACCATCAACGAACAAGACTATTGGAAATTTGATGTTATTTTTTCTTAAGTAAGGATAAAGAACGTTTCCTATATATTCGTAGAATAGCTGATTTTTTCATCCAACCGTTATCACTGCACCCAATTCCCCAGGTGTCAGTACAGATTTAACAATTTCGGCTGGCAGTCTTTTGTAAGCATAGATAATCATCGGTGGGTCACAACACCACAAGCTGAAAATGTAAACATCACTGTGATGTTGTTTTTTGAATGATGTTGTATTTCATAAACATTTTTCGCTCCTCTTGGTGCAAGAACTTTTTTGTTCTTTGGGCAAAGCCAAAAACAGTTTCGTCTCCATTGTAGATTCTGCTGGGATCTTCAAGAACCTCAAATAATTGTTTTTCCTTTAAATAGTCTTCCACATTATTAAACCAGTTTCTTATGTCTGCTTCGGCTACAACTGAGCTAGCTGCTGTTATTCCTTCTGAGGTTCTTAGAGTTATATTTGGGTGACGTTTTAGGAAGGCGTGATACCATCCTTTTCCTGGACGATTATCTTTAAACGGATTTTCTCTAGGGGTTTGCCGTCAAGGAAATATTTCATAGAAGCCTGAATGCTTCTTCTTCTGAAGTTAATACTGGGTTAGGTCCAAGAGAAACTTTATTATTAAATCTGACACTTGACCGGAACTGAAGTGTTGCTCGAGGAATCTGATATAACTTAGAAGCTTCTCTTTGACTCATACCATTTTCAATAGACTCTAAAGCCTTAATTATATCTTCTTCTTTATATTTTTTTCGGTAAGAAATACCTGCAGAGACCTTTGGCATATTGTAACTGAAAAAAAAAAGCATTGCGATAGTGATTGGCCACGTTGAAATAGAGTAATTGGCCTACGGCCAACGACTGTTTACTCTTAGAATAGGTAAAGGCAACAATAAGAATAATGTAACTTATAGAGTCCACTTTTATGAAAAACAAATTATATCTGAAAACTTATTTTAAAAATTTAACACAGTAATTGGCCGGCTGGCCAATAACTGTTTATATACCTAAATTATTGATACAGTTATTGGCATAGTAAATTCGCGCGTTTTTTGTTATATAAAAATGTTTCGGGCCTAAAATTGGATCAGTTACAACCTTAGTTTTAATAACTCATGCTAAATTATATCTGTATCTATAACGATTAAGTTTATAATGGATCAAAAAACAGGTGTACAATCCTTAAGAAATTCGTTAGTTTTTACCTGTGAACAACTAAACTGGCGACAACAAGAAGTGACTACACCCTTTAAGCACTCTATTGTTACTGTAGCAAGACGAAACTGTAGGTGAACATTAAGCGACGTTGCCAAAATTATCCCGTAAATTTGATTTATTTCAGTAACAGCAGAAACTCTTAATATTTATAAATTTATGTTAACATGGCCAATCACTATATCATGGCCAACGACTGTATCATTTACCCTATTGAGAGGGTAGGAAAGAATAGGGTAAGAGTACAAGATATTTTGTGAAAATGTTGTGACTAATTGTCAGAGGCTATACACGTTATTAGATTGTGTAACTGTGGATGTGATTAATAATGATGATAATAATGATGAGATAATTCCTATTTAAATGAGCATAAGCCACAAAAAAAGATTAAAGTAAGTTTATTGACGTTTCAATTTTCGCTTTGGAAATCATTCTCTCAAATAAAATAAAAAAATTTACTAATGTTTGTATTTTAAGAACGATTTCTAAAGTAGTAATTGAAACGTCAATAAGCTTACTTTAACCTTTAATTGTGGCTTATTGCCATTTAAATATTAATAACTCACTTTTGCGCTATGTAATGAAAATGTGGTTCATCTGAAAACCATACTTTTTTCAAAAACTCAGGATTTTCATACTGTAATGCAAGAATTCTGGCACAATATTGCACTTTACTATGATAATCCTTGGAGTCCTGTGATTGCCTTTTTAATTGTGTTGTGTTGTGTATTTATCTGCCTGGACGTGGCTCTATTGATGTTTTTATATCAAAACTGGATCTAATACTTGTGTGCTAGTCTCCGAAAGGTAATGCTATAATATTAACAAGTGATTTTAATATAGATTTCAAATCAAATGCACTAAGTAAGCAGAACTTGGTGAATGTTTTAGATTCTTATGGCATAAACGTAACTGTGAATGATTATACAAGAGTAACTGCAACTAGTAAAACTATACAATGATGCCTATATATTTATCCGTTCATATAGAGAAAGGAACATAAATCGTTTTGTTCAAACGCTTAAGTTAACAAATTAGTCAGAGGTATTTAATACAATTTCTGCTGAGGATAAATCATTAGCTTTTTTAAAAACTATCCAAAATTACTTTCGGTCCCATTTCCACTACTTAAATGTAAACCTAAAAAATGTACACGTTCGAATTGGTTTACGCAGGAACTGTACAATTTAAGGGATCAGTTAACACTTTTAGAAACGATCTGTCAGAAAAATAGTAATCTTAGGGGCAGTCCTTCATTTGGCAAAGCCAGAATATTCAATTAAATTAAAAGCAGCTAAAAGTAGTCACTTTATGAGACAGTTAAACGAATCATCAAATAAAATGAAATTTATTTGGCATTTAGTAAACTTAACAGTCGGGAAACAAAATAACTCAAAAGTACCTAGTGATGATAACAGTAATTTAGCAGACAAATTTAACCACCATTTTGTTGAAATTGGCTCCAAAGTTACTTGCCGCTTTGGATCCTACTAAAATAGGTGGGTTTAGATTAGCATAAAAAAATCGGTATAGTTGTTCTATGTTTTTATATCCAACTAACCCACAGGAAATAACTAGTATAGTCGGAAGTTTTAAATCCAAATACATTTGTGGTTTTGATCAGAATTCCCGAAGTTATTAAAACAATGCATTCATGCTCTCGCAGATCCACTGACGAATATTTGTAATGCCTCTTTTCAACAAGGAATATTTCCTAGTATAATAATAATAATAATAAAGGTCTTTATTTTTACTTCAAATTCATACAATACACAAAATATATAAAATTATACATGCATAATACAATAAGAAAAAAAAATGCCGAAGATCAGGTGGTGCTGATTTCAAGAAATCAGTACCTCTGCTTTTCATTTTAAGCAAGAGAAAAAAAATATATAATATTTTTTTTACATGTTCTGTAACAATCAAATAAAAACCATAACTAATAGAAATATTTAGCATTTAAATATTGTCCATTACACAGATGCATCTAAAACTTATGTTTAAACTATCTATTGTAATACCTTTATTTAAAAGTGGTGATAAAGATGACCTTAACTATCGTCCCATAAGTCTCTTATCTGTGTTTTTAAAGATAATTGAAACTCTGGTTTATACTAGAATGAACGCATTCCTAAAAAAGCATAGTGTCTTGCATAATTTTCAACATGGTTTTACATCTTCTAAGTCTACAACTACAACTCTTGCAAATTTCGACAGCTTTGTGTTGGATGCTTTGGACAGACGAGAGAAGGTATGCGGTTTATTTCTCGATTTTTCCAAGGCTCTTGACACTTTGGATCATAATTTGTTGCTAATAAAACTTGAGGGGATTGGTATTCGTGGTGTGATGAAATTGCCGATTTACAACATATTCTTTTAGAATGTCCGTTAAAAAAATAGAAATTCATAAGTTCTATCAAAATTTAATATCATACAAAATGAAGTTTCCAATAAATGTTTCAAATCTATTGACATTAGAGGATAATAGTATCTACAACAACATATATCAGTATGTAAAATCTACTAATATTACTTTGTAAGCAGTATTGCGATATATGAATAAATTTGTAAGCCTAAAACGAAAATAAAAATAAAAATATAAAAAAAAAACAATATGAAAAAAAACAATATATATACCTACATGAATCATGAACTAAAAATATTTTTTTTTGTACATTTTCTTCTTCTTCATGTGCCTTGTCCGTTCCGAACGTTGGCAATCAACATGGCTATTCTGACTTTGTTTACGGCAGATCCGAATAGTTCAGCAGATGACAATCCGAACCATTGCCGCAAGTTTTGGAACCACGAGTGTCTTCTCCTCCCTGGACCTCTTTTGCTGTCTATTTTCCCTTGAATGATCAGCTGTAGTACTATATTTATAATCTCTCATAACGTGACCCAAGTATTCCAACTTTCTTTTCTTTATACTTCTTTTCACATCTCTCTTTTTACCTATCCGGCGTGGTACCTCTTCGTTGGTCACGTGCTCAGTCCACGATATACGTTCTATACGTCGGTAAGCCCACATTTCGAAGGCCTCTACTTTTCTCATCAATGTTGCGGTCATTGTCCACGCCTCCATTCCATATAACAAAACCGGGAATACATAACATTTTATAAGTCGAATTTTGAGAGGTAGGGTGAGGCTTTTCGAGGTAAAAATTTGCTTCATGCTAGTGAACGATGCTCTTGCCTTTTCTACTCTTATACGTATTTCCTTCGCTTGATCCCAATTTGAGTTAACTGTTGTTCCCAAGTAGATGTACGAATCCACGTGTTCAATTCTTTCATTGTCTAATATTAGTTGCTGTGGTGGTTGTTGGGTTTTGCTTACTAACATCCATTTGGTTTTTGTGATATTTAGTCTAAGTCCGTATTGTGCACTTGTTTTTTGTATCTTACTCATTAGGCAACTCAGTTTATCCATGCTACTTGCTAGAATCACAGTGTCATCAGCGTACCTTATGTTAATTAATTATTTCTCCATTTATCTTTATGCGTTCTGTGCTTTCCTCCAGCGCTGTCCTAAATACTTCTTCTGAGTATATATTCAAGAGAATAGGAGACAAGATTCAGCCCGGTCGTACCCCTTTCTTAATCTCAATTTTATTGGTCAATGTAGATCTTACTTTCACTTTAGCTGTTTGACCCCAATAGAGACTCGCTATTGTTCGAATGTCTCTGTAGTCGACTCCGATCTTATGGAGAACTTCAATTACCTTTTCGTGCTTTACGTTATCAAATGCTTTTGCGTAGTCTATGTACACGTCTGTGTCCATATCTCTGCAGCGCTGAATGAGTACCTGTAGACTAAAAAGTGCTTCCCATGTCCCAAGAGAATTCCGAAATCCAAACTGCGAATCTCCAATGTTATCCTCGTATTTTTTGCTTATTCTGTTGTAAATAAACTTGGTGTATGCCTTCGAAATGTGGTTAATTAGACTTTATCATTTGCAATTTGCTTTTGGTTTTTTCGGTTTGGCAACAAAAGTTGACTCTAGCCAGTCTTCAGGAAACTCCCCGCTGTTATAAATATTGTTAAAGAGTCTGACGAGTGAGTCTCGAAATTGACAGTTTGTTTCGCACAGCATTTTTAATACTTCCCCGTATACGTTATCGTTGCCTGGTCTTTTGTTATTTTTAAGACCCTTTATAGCATTCTCCACTTCTGATTTTAGAATAGAAGGGCCAGTATCATCATTGCTCAGTGTATATCCACTAGGACGGTCATCATTAAACAGTTGTTCCACATAAGTTTCCCAAATTCTTACTATTTTGTCGGGGTCTAGTTTTAGATTTCCATTATCATCGCACAGCCCTTTCGATAAAATATTGTAGCTTTTCTTTATTGTGAGTTTCTTTATCTTCTTATGCATATTCTGATAGTCGTATACCTTTTCGCACTGTTCGATTTCTTCGCATCTCTCCGAGAACCATTTCTCTTTAGTTTTTCTTATCTCAGCTCTTATTCGTCTATGGGTTTCACCGTATTTGGCAGTATCTTTAGTTTTATATATCCGTCTCTCTTCCATCATGTCAAGGATTTCTGCAGTCATCCAGTCTTTCTTTTTTCTCTTATCAGATAGTAAAAACTTAGTGCTTGAAGTCCTAATCTCTTCATTAATTTCACTCCATTTTTCCAGCGGTTCATTGTTATTTTTAAGGATTTTTGATATTTCGGTATTTAAATCCTCCTGCATCTGTTGTTTAATATTACTGTTGGAAAGCTTCGTAACATCTAGCGTTTCGGGCCTGTTCTTTACATTTGGCTTTTTAAACTTTACTTCAAACTTACATACCACCGGATTATGGTCTTATGCTACGTCCGCACCGGTGTAAGTTTTTACGGCTTTGATGGAGTTTCTAAACCTGATTGGTGCAGCAATATAATCTATTTGATTTCTGATTATTTTACTAGATGAGTCGTACATTTTATAATTAATAATTATTAAAAAATTTAATGAATATTTCAAATTCCATACTTCTTTGACGACTGTTTAATTTTTTATAAAAGAAACCAGCGAAGTGTTAAACCTTTCGAAGAGTGTTGTCAGGCGTATGGAAAATCCAGGAATTAGTTTTATGATCTCTTTTATTATCGTCAGCTAGCGAACATTATCCGACGAATAAAATATTTCACTAAAAATAGAAAAAAAAATACTTTCATAAAGGAATGAACAATATTGCAAGAAATAATTCGCCTAATTTGTTTTTAGTAAACATATATACTCATGGACAAAAATATCGAATATTTTAAAAATTTTTTAATTTTTGTTTTTTCAAAAAAAATTCTGATCAATCAAGTCATTTATTGTGAAATAGAGTTTATTTTAACAATGTTTAATAAAAAAATTTATGCGCAGAAAATTGCGAAAAACATTAATGGTCAGAATTTTCAGAATGGTTAGTATTAAAAAGGATATTTTATTCTAAACTTAAATGCTAATTAAAACTGATTAAACAAGTCTTTTTAAATGAAAGAATTACATGATCAGTAACGAGTGTTCCCCTCTAGCTCTTATTACTGCTAGCATCCTTCTCGGCTGCTCGAATATGGTAAACTTTGGACATATCTTTGGAAAATTGCATTGCATTCATCCTGTGCAGCAAGCTGAAGCTGCTCTATCGTATTTGGAACGAGATTTCTTTGTCGTTTTAGGTGATCCCATATGTACTCTATGACCCAACAGATAGACATCACCGACATGGAGTGGCTATTGCTCTGGACAGGAAGACCAGTAAATCGGTGACAGATTTTGTTCCAATTTCCGAACGAGTCATGTTGATCAAAATGACAGGCAAACCAGGAAACATAAATGTGACACAAGCATATACACCAACAGCAGATAAGTCAGAAGAAGAAATAACTAAGTTCTATAAAGATCTGGAAAAAGCAATAAGACTAACAAAGAAAGAGGACATAAACATAATAATGGGCGACTTTAACGCCAAGGTGGGTAAAGGAAGATATGAAGACATAATTGGAGAGTACGGCCTTGGAGTTAGAAATGAAAGAGGCGACCTGCTGTGTGAATTCTGCCAGGAGAACGGTTTTGTCGTCATGAACACATGGTTTCAGCTCCCACCTCGTAAGTTGTATACTTGGAGATCACCAGGAGACCGTCCAAATCGAATAATTAGAAACCAAATTGACTACGTTTTAATAAACAGAAGATTTCGTAACGGTATCAAAAGAATCGCAGCATATCCGGGTGCTGATATTGCATCCGATCATAATCCGCTAATAGCAGATGTGAGGTTAAAACTAGCAAAAATTAAGAGAACAAATACAAATACCAGAACACCTTTAAATACAAGAGAACTGATTAGAGACGAAAATCTGAAGAAGAATTATGCGAATCAAATTAATGAAAGAATGCGAGTAATAGAACAAAATGATGATATCAAAGAGATGGTCAATGATATTAAAGGAACGATTCTGGCAGTAAACAGGGAAGTTAAATTACAGATCAGAAAGAGAAAGCATAACGAATGGATGACGGACGAAATTATGGGCCTAATAAAAAAGCGAAGGCAACATAAACAACAACGTAATCAAGACAAATACAAACAGATACACAAAGAAATCCGTCAGAAAATTAAGAAAGTAAAAGAACGTTGGATGGTGGAAAGGTGCAACGAAATAGAACAATTGCAGGAAAAAGGAGATAGTTTTGGACTACAAAAGAAGATCAAAGAAATATCGAATATACACAAAAGCCACCACAGAACAAGAAATACGCAACGACAGAAACGAATACATAGAGTCAGAAGAGGAGATAGCAATGGCGTGGAAAGAATACGCAGAAAGCCTTTTTAATGACGAAAGACCAACACAACCAACGCGCAAACTTCCTTCCGAAAACTTATCAGAGCCATCAATAATGCGAAGTGAAATAGAATGTGCAGTTAGAACCACAAAGATGCATAAAGCAACAGGTCCAGATGAAATTAATATAGAAGCAATAAAACTACTAGATGAGGAGAATATCAAAATCTTGGTAAGGCTGTTCAATAGAACTTATGATACTGGTTACATTCCGCGAGAATGGCTGCAGTCATCCTTTGTGATGATCCCAAAAACAGCTAATGCCACATAATGCAATGAACACCGCTTAATCAGTTTAATGAGTCACTTGTTGAAACTCTTCCTTAGGATATTACACTCAAGAATATACAAGATACTAAAAGAACTTAGCGGGTCAACACAATTCGGTTTTAAGGGAGGACTAGGAACAAGAGAGGCAATTTTATGTTTGAACACCTTAATACAAAACTGCTTAAATCAACGAAAAGATGTCTACCTCACCTTCATCGACTACGAGAAGGCATTTGACAATGTTAAACATGACATCATGATGGAACTACTACATAGGGCCAACATTGACCAGAAGGAGATCAGAATTACTCAGAATCTATACTGGAACCAAATGGCAAAGGTGAGGATTGATCAAGACCAATATACGGATGAATTTGAAATCCGGAAAGGTGTCCGCCAAGGCTGCATACTCTCTCCGATGCTTTTTAATTTATATGTTGAAAATATATTTGCGGAAGCATTAGAAGATACGAAATTAGGCATTAAGGTGAACGGCATACCGATTAGCAACCTACGCTATGCGGACGACAGAGTGATTATAACTGATAATTTGGAAGATCAGCAGTTATTACTTGATAGGGTGAATAGCATAGGTAAAAAATATGGCCTCAAAATCAACATTTTCAAAACGAAATATATGGTCATTAGCAGAAACCCTCCAGAAAACCCGATAATATGAATAGGTGACAATCGTATAAATCGCGCGAAAACTTTTAAATACCTTGGCACCACAATCAATGACCAATCGGATCCACAACACGAGATAAAAACCCGAATACAAATGGCAAGACAAGCTTTTGTGAAATTAAGACCGCTCCTATGTAATCAACACCTAAACTTCGAAATACGCTACAGAATGGTCAAGTGCTACATATGGTCCATCTTGCTTTATGGCATGGAAACGTGAACTTTGAAAAAAACATCTATCAACAAACTTGAAGCATTTGAAATGTGGTCATTGAGAAGAATGATGCGCATACCTTGGGTGGATAGAGTTCGAAACGATGACGTCCTTAATAGAGCCGGCGTGGAAACGCAAGATTGGTTACCTTGGGCACATATTGAGAGGAGCAAAATATGAAATACCACAGTTAATTCTACAAGGGAAGATCGAAGGTAGGAGAGGAGCCGGCTGCAAACAATTATCCTGGTTAAGGAATATTAAAGTATGGACAGGAATTCACAATACAGGTGAGCTGTGTCACGCCGCCAAGAACAGAATTCTAGTAATGAGATAGTCGCCAACGCACTTTGGTGT